AGAAAAGGGACCTGAAGTCTAGGAGAGTTGCCCAATGGTGAACTGGGATGTACAACCTCCAAAACTATGTTATTTGAAACAAAATGTAGTTCATTCTGATGGTGAGTTCTATGTGTCAACCTGGCTGGGCTAAGGGATGCCCAGAGAGCTGGTAAATGTTATTTCTGGGTATGTCTGCGAGGGTGTATTTGGAAATGATTAGCATCTGAATCAGTAGACTGAGTAAAGATCACCAATGTTGGGAGGGAGGGGCAGGGATCGCTCAATCTGTTGATGGCCAATTTGCTCTTTCTGCCTGAGCTGGGACATCCATGTTCTCCTGCCCTTGGACATTGGCACTTCTGGTTCTCAGGTCTTTACACTCAGACTCTCTGCTCCCTGGGTTCTCGGGCCTTTGGACTGGATTGGAATGTTCCAGCACTGGCTTTCCTGGTTCTCCAGCCTACAGACATGAGATGGTGTGTGAGCCAATTCCTGCAATAAATCTCTCTCTTTGTCTCGTATACACACATGTACATATACACATATCCATATCTATCTGTAAACATCTATCACCCATTGGTTCAGTTTCTCTGGAGAGCCCTGCTAATACGTTCATATACATGGTAACATACCAAACAGCACAGGAGAGTTTCTCATGAAAAGCAAACTCTCATGCCCATTGCCCAACTCTGTTGGGGCAATCTCTTTTAATCACTTTGATTTTCAGGTGATTATGTCCCTAAATATAAACAATAGCTAGACAATATTTATTGTCTGTAAAGTTTACTTCTACTCTTTGCTTTCTCCAACTGTTGATTATTTATATATTTATTGGTATTTCTCATTTCTCCTCATAAATTCAATAAACAGCACCCCTATTTTCTTATTCTATCACATGGACAATCCCTTTTGACAACTCACTTTCTCTCTCTCTCTCTCTCTCTCTCTCTCTCTCTCTCTCTCTCTCTCTTTGATTCAGATTCAAGTTAACGTACAGTGTAGTATTGGTTTCAGGGGTAGAATTTAGTGATTCATCACTTACATACAACACCCAGTGTTCATCCCAGCAAGTGCCCTCCTTAATGGCCCATCACCCATTTAGTCTGTCCCCCCACCCACCACCCTTCCAGCAACCCTAAGTTTGTTCTCTATATTTAAGAGTCTCTTAGGGGTGGCTCAGTGGCTCAGTCGGTTAAGCGTCTGACTCGTGGTTTCAGTTCAGGGCATGATCCCACGATTTCTTGGATTTGAACCCTGCATCAGGCTCCACACTGACAGTGCAGAGCCTATTTGGGATTCTCTCTCTCTCTCTCTCTCTCTCTCTCTCTCTCTCTCTCTCCCCCTCTCCCCCCCTCTGCCCCTCCTCTACTCGTGCTCTCTGTCTCTCTCAAAATAAATAAATAAAGTCTCTTGCGGCACCTGGGTGGCTCAGTCAGTTGAGCCTCCAACTTTGGCTCGGTTCATGATCTCGCGGTTTGTGGGTTCAAGTCCCACGTTGGGCTCTGTGCTGACAGCTCAGAGCCTGGAGCCTGCTTCGAATTCTGTGTCTTCCTCTCTCTCTGTTATTTCCCTGCTCACACACACTCTCTCTGTCTCTGTCTCTCTCTCTAAAAAATAAATAAACATTAAATTTTTGTTTAAGTCTCATGGTTTGCCTCCCTCTCTGTTTTTATCTTATTTTTCCTTCTCCTCCCCTATGGTCATAAGTTTTGTTTCTTAAATTCCACATGCAAGTGAAATAATATATTTGTCTTTCTCTGATTGACTTATTGTGCTTAAGCATAATACATTCTAGTTCCGTCCACATTGTTACAAATGGCAATATTTCATTCTTTTTGATTGCTGAGTATTATTCCCGTGTGTGTGTGTGTGTGTGTGTGTGTGTGTGTGTGTATACATATATATACCACATCTTCTTTATCCATTCATCTGTCGAGGGACATTTGGGCTCTTTCCATACTTTGGCTATTGTTGATAGTGCCGCCATAAACACTGGGGTGCATGTGCCCCTTCGAATCAGCGTTTTTGTATCCTTTGGATAAATACCTAGTAGTGCAATTGCTGGGTCATAGGGTAGTTCTATTGGTAACTTTTTGAGGAACCTCCATACTGTTTTCCGGAGTTGACATTTCACTTTCTAAGATGAAGGCATGAGCAGTATTTTTCCCGCCATCTTTCCTCCCTGCTTTTGTTTTCCATCTTTTGTCAGCCTGGCTGATTTCAAAAGTCCCCCACCGCTTTTAGTTGTGTGTAGCCATGTGACTGGTGCTGGCCAATGGGTTTTGGGAGGGAGTGACCTTTGTTAGCCTAGGCTGGAGCATTTAATGACTGTGTGAGTTTCTCACCCCATACACAGACACGCATGCTCTCCTGCCCACTGCCACACCTGTCACGTGGAAGAGTCTCCGTTAGCCTGAGTCCTGGGAGAGCAGAGCACCCCCACCAGGATACAGGCAACGTGTAGTGTGAGTGAGATGGGAGTCTTCATTGTCCTAAGCCTCTGAGAGTTTGGTGGTTATTTGCTTTGTCAGCAGAGGCAAGCATATCCTAACTTAGGCCCAAATATAACATAATATAACGTTATTATGTTCTGTCCTGCAAATATAGCCATGATGCTAATGTATTCTCCATACTTTAACAAAGATTTTTTTTTTTTTTAAAAAGGCAAACTTTATCTGTCCTCACAAGTCTGAAAATGTCTTTATTTACCCTCCTACTTGATTCCATTTGGCTGGGAATAGAATTGTAGGTTAAAAGTCTCTTTCAGAACTTTCAAATACTGCATTATGGGCATCTGGCTTTTGACTTCTTTTAAAAAAAATTTTTTTGGGGGCACCTGGGTGGCGCAGTCGGTTAAGCGTCCGACTTCAGCCAGGTCACGATCTCGCGGTCCGTGAGTTCGAGCCCCACGTCAGGCTCTGGGCTGATGGCTCAGAGCCTGGAGCCTGTTTCCAATTCTGTGTTTCCCTCTGTCTCTGCCCCTCCCCCGTTCATGCTCTGTCTCTCTCTGTCCCAAAAATAAATTAAAAACGTTGAAAAAAAATTTAAAAAAAAAAAAATTTTTTTTAATGTTTTTAATTTTTTTTTGAGAGAGACAGAGCATGAGCAGGGAAGGGGCAGAGAGAGAGAGGGAGACACAGAACCCGAAGCAGGCTCCAAGCTCTGAGCTGCCAGCACAGATCCCAACGTGGGGCTCGAACTTACGAACCGTGAGATTGTGACCTGAGCCGAAGTCGGATGCTTAATCAACTGAGCCACCCAGGCGCCCCCATAATTCCTTTGTTTTTGAAACCCTGTATAAATGGAGCAACTCATCTGTCCTCTTGTTCCGGTTCAGTTTCCTCCACTGTAAATCGGGAGTGATGACACAAGTGAAAGAGAGTGCTAGATTACAGGCACCTAGGACGTGTTTGTTAAGTCTGCACGGCCCATTGTGGCCCAAATCACTCTCATGTATTTATCTTACCTCTGGTAGGATAGGGCACAAAAATAGGTAATATAGTCAATTAAGCGGACAACTCATGGTCATGGGATCTGATGTCAGGCAGACTGGGAGGTGAAAAGCCACTACATAAGAAGAGGGACATTTTTTCCAGACACTGTATTTGACAACGAATGAGAATTCCTGTCGTTACACGTCCTCACCAACATCTGGTGTTGTCAATATTCTGGAGTTTGGCCCTTCTCAGGATTAAGTGGTGGTGTCTCATTGCATTTATTTTGCATTTCCCTAGTGATGTATGATGTGGAACATATTTTCCCATGCTTATTTGCCATGTATATATCATCTTTATCTTTTTAAAAGAGAGAGAGAATCTCCAGCAGGTCCCATGCTCAGCACAGAGCCCGACACAAGGCTCGATCCCACAACCCTGGGATCATGACCTGATCCAAAATCAAGAGCCAGATGCTCAGCTGACTGAACCACCCAGACGCCCCCTATATATCATCTTTGGTGAGGTGTCTGGTAGGGTCTTTGATTTCTTTCTTAATCGGATTGGTTTTTTTATTGCTCAGTTTTAAGAGTTCTTTGCGTATCTTGGCTCCTGGTCTTTATCAAGTATGTCTTTTGCAAATATTTTCTCCTAACCTGTTACTTGCCTTCTCACACTCTTCGCATTGTCTTTTGCAGAGCAGAAGTTTTAAATTTTAATGACGTCCAGCTCATCAATGATTTACTTCATGAATTGTGCCATTGGTGTTCTATCTAAAAGGCATCATCCCTCTCTCTCTCAAAGAAATAAACATTAAAAAATAATGCCTGGGTGGCTTAGTGGGTTAAGCATCTGACTTTTTATTTCGGATCAGGTCATAATCTCATGGTTGGTGGGATTGAGCCCTGTGTCAGGCTCTGAACTGACAGCTCAGAGCCTGCTTGGGATTCTCTCTCTCTCTCTCTCTCTCTCTCTCTCACTCTCTTTCTGCTCCTCCCCCTCTTATGCACAGACTCTCTCTCTCTCTCAAAATAAATAAATAAACACTTAAAAAGCCATCACCAGGGGTGCCTGGGTGACTCAGTCAGTTGAGCAACTGATTTCGGCTCAGGTCGTAATCTCACGGTTTGTGAGTTCGAGCCCCACATCGGGCTCACGATTGTCGGAGCAAAGCCCGCTTCAGATCCTCTGTCCCCCCCCCTCTCTGCCCGTCTCCCACACGTGCTCTCTCTCTATCAAAAATAAATAAATGTTTTTTAAAAATCCATCACAAGACCCAAGGTTTTCTCCTGTTATCTTCCAGGAGTTTGGGATACATATACTTTTAATTTAACCTGTGCCTGTTGCCCCATCCACTTGGTTTCTGACAATGCCCTTGGCACATTGTCCTCTTATGGTCTGGGAAATGTTAACATTCTGCAACCTTCTCTCCTTTATCTTGCTGGGAAGGCAATTTCAGCCCTGCATTTAAAACCTCCCACTACTCATGTCTACCAGATTACCTCCCCTCTCCTTACAAGTCTTCTTATCAAATTCAATTGAGACTTCCACTTCTGTAACCAAGATTTGTTTGATTCTACACAGGCTTAGAAGCTGATGTCTTCCCTCCGAGGTGGAATTACATTTACCAAGCTCATGGGACTGATGTGGGAAATCGGAACGTCAGTGTATTCACTGATAACAAGAAATATAATTGCTGAGAAGACTGGAATACTCTCATCAGTGTGACCAGCACATTCTTTCCCGGAGGCAGGTCTAAGTGAAAAGCCAAATTATACAAAGAAGGTGGCTTGGTGAGCATTTGATCATTGAGTTCTATTGATGAAGAGCCTAATGCAGGTCTCCATTGAATGTCAATGTCAAACATTGTACTGGACACTAGGTGGAGAATGGTGAATAAGAGAGATGGGTCTCCGTGCTCACAGGTTCTAAGGCACTGGGGGAAGACAGGCCCTGAACAGGTAATGAGACTTCTAGGTGAGAAAAACTACACCCCTTACCCTCTGCTTCCTCCCCGAACCTACGAAAATAACAGTACAGGAATTGTTCTGAAAAGGCAATACGCAAAGACAGAGGTCTGCAAACCATGGTCCACAGGCCAAATCTAGCCCGCTGCCTGTTTCGGGACAGCCTGTCCTAAGAATAATCCTATATTTGCAAATGGCTGGAAAAAAATCAAAACCAGAATAACATTCTGTGACACGTGAAAATGATATGAAAGTCAGATTTCAGAGTGCATAAATAAAGTTTGGTGGGAACGCGGCCATGCATTCCAATGCAGGTCCCATGTATTGTCTACGGCTGCTCTCGCGCTACCATGACATAGTTAAGTAGGTGCGAAGGAGGCCATATGGTGTGCAGAGCCAAAAATATTTACTATCCGGCCCTTTACAGGAAAAAAAAAAAAAAAAATCCCAACCCCTGCTCTAGAACGGCACCGTCCAATGGAACTTTCTGCAGTGACGGACGGGTCGTGTACCGCCATCCGATATGGTAGTTGGCCACTAGCTACATGTGGCTACTGAGCCCTTGATATGTGGCTGGTGCAACTAAGGACCTGAACGTTTATTTTATTTATTTTAATGAATTTAAATGTGAGTAGCTGGCAGAAGCTGCTGTGTTGGGTGGCACAGTGGTCGACTATGACAAGAGGGCATCTGGGCTGGGAAACACCACGTGTCGTGGAAGATGGGACATCTGCCCGAAAGCAGGGGGATTAAGTGAAAGTTTACATATGGAAGCCTGGCATGCCCCACCCAATCTTCTTACAGGCTGCTTTCCTGACCTAGATTCCAGAATGCTGGCAGGGAGAATTACACTCTCCTAAAAAGAAGCTGGGGGAACCATCTCTGGGGACTTTGACCAGCTCGGGAGGAAGGACCTAAACATGCGTTGGGAGCTTCCTAATCGTCATACCAAATTGGCAGTGAAGAGACCCCCTGCCAATCACAGAGCATTCAGTAACCTTTAGCCTAGGTCCCACCCTCCCCCATGAGCAGGCGGCCAAGGGCCCGCGTACATTCGAGGAACGCGAAAGAGACCAAACAAACAGATGGACAGATCTAAGCGAAGATCTCTGGGCGCACATATTTTGTTAAATTTGGAGGTCTATAATGCTGAAAGAGAAAAATGGCCTTTCTTTTCACTAAGTTCAAGGCAGCATTTTCTTCACCTACAAACATAAGCAACAAACTGTAGTAGTGTTAGCAGTTTCTGTGACTTCATCATCAATAGAAACCGGGTATTTTCCTGCCATGATGGTATTGTTGGAGTCATTTCATAACATCATTTATGCTCGTCATGACTTTGAAATGATGGTAGTCATTAGACACCCTGCTAAATCTTCTAATATAGAAGCACGTATGTCACTATATGACAGATTTGTTTTTTAAATATTTTGATAACTGTATGTTGATATAAATGATTTCCTTTGTAATCCTGTGCATAGAAGTTGATTCATTTAAAGGTATTACGCTGAGAAAAGGTCCACAGTCTCCACCTGACTGCAGAGGGGTCCAGGGCACAAGAAGGGTTCTCTTTAGGATGGCTAGGGAATGGAGATCATAATCGGTAAGCACTTTGTGCCAGATTTTAAACCTCAGAATTCTAAGAGTAATTATTATTATTACTTTGATAGCTTTCCTTAGTACTTAAAATGTTCATTTTGTCATTGCAATGGGATATTTGGAGGGGGAGAGAATCATAGAAGGACTTAATCAGCCCCCTTGACCCCAAAGTTCAGTTTTCTTTTCTAAAAATAGTACGTGCACATCATAAATAAGCTAGAAAAGTACAAAGAGGACAACAAAGGTCACCTCCAATCCCACTGCCTATTTGGCGAACATTGTTCTGGGCAGCATTGTGTGCATAAACACATAACATACACATATATCCACACAAACATATAAAGATCAGTATATGTATAAAGATATACACGTAATTATAGGGGCACCTGGGTGGCTCAGTCCGCTGAGCACCCACTTTTGGTTTGGCCCAGGTCATAATCTCACGGTTTGTGGGATCCAGCCCCCGAGTCAGCTCCAAGCTGGCAGCACAGAGTCTGCTCGTGATTCTCTCTCCCCCTCTTTCTGCTCCTCCCCTACGCACAATCACTTGTTCTCTAAATAAATAAATGTGAACAAAATAAAGTTAAAGACATAGACATAATTTTTGACAAAAACAGAATCAAAGTACACATTTATTATTATTTTATTTTTTACTACACATTTATTATTATCATTGTATTTTTTACCCTGCGTTTATCTTCTATAGTAATAGCAAGAATTGAGGTGGGTCATTATTTTCACCAGTCAGTTAAGGAAACTGAGACTCAGATAATTAAAGCCTGGTGCATGGTCACAGGTGGTGAGAGAGAAAGAAATCTCTTGGTCATCCCAGAATGACTTACTGTTCAAGGACCCCATGTCTGTGAGGGGGGAAGTCTGGAGTTCAACTGGACTGAGAGAGCTTCACCCTCCCAGCTGCACTTACCCAAAAGCTTGTGACCCGAAATCTTTGTGATTTGGGGGGGATTCTAGCTCGGGTGCAGGTGACCCATATGCCGAGTCCCAAAACAGATCTGCTGAGAAGCTTCAACTGAATGATCATACTTGGAGGCAGGAATCTGGCACATCCTGGGCTCCTTTCTATATTTCCATTCTGATTCCTTGGGGAAGCAAATGGGAGCAATTCTTCTCATTAACTCGAAATGCAGCCCTTCGTGGGCACCACGTGCTGCGGTGGACAGTTGGAAAGCCATCCACACAAAGGCTGACCTCTCCATCCCGTCTGGCTCCCTGGAACTGGAGGAAGATGAGACAAAGTGGACTTCCTGAGGTCCGTCCCAGAATTTATTTAATCTGCAGGATCCCAAAGCTCGGCGGGGCTGCATCAGTCACCTGAGGAGCCTGTTGAAAGCAGTGATGCAAGGTTCTGATTCTAGAGTAGTGGATGTCAACCTTGGCTACCCATTAGCATCACCGGGGAAGCCTTCAAAAAACAAAATGGCGGAGTAGGCATGTTATGGACTGAATGTCATCCGCAAATTCCTGTGTTGAAACCTCACCCATCTCCTATCAATGTAATGGCATTAAGAGGTGGAGCCTTCGGGAGGCCTGACCTTAGATGAGGCCAGGAGGGAGGAGCCCTTTAATGGGATTAGTGCCCTTACAAGACTCACCCGAGAGCTGTGCTTCCTGTATCTGCTCTCTGCCTTGTGAGGGTACAATAAGAAGCTGGCAGTCTGCAACCTAGAAGGGGGGTCCTCACCAGAACCTGGCCATGCCAGCACCCTGATCTTGGACTTCCAGCCTCCAGGAAGGTAAGAAAGAAATTCCTGTTGTTTATTATAAGCCACCCAGACTGTAATGTTTCTGTTAGAGCAATCCAAACTACTGCTCAGACAAGGCGCTCCGAGCTCCCCCAGAGAAACATTGAGAAAGCAAGCAGACACTATCAGAACTAACTTTGTCAGAACTCTGGAAAACCGTCAAGGTTTATAGCAACCAAGTGAATGCTGAACGAAGGAAAAAGCAACTTGAAAACGGCTCAGTGCAAACAGGGGTGCCGTCTGAGGCAGAGTTGTGAACAGCCCGGCTGAGTGTTGAAGGAACAACCCAGCACAGAGGCAGTCTGCAAATACTGGGTGGTGTGTGTGTGTGCGTGTGTGTGTGTGTGATTGACGTATAGTTGGTACATCATGTTATATTAGCTTCAGGTGTGCAACATAGTGATTCACCGTCTCTAATATTCTGTGCTCGCAAGTGTAGCTACCCTCTGTCACCAGACATCACTCTTAAGATACCGTTGACTCTATTCCCTATGCTGTGCCTTTCATCCCTGTGACTTATTCATCCCATGACTGGAAGCCTGTACCCTCCAGTCCCCTTCACCCGTTGTGCCCATCTCCTTCCTCTCTGGCAATGACCACTTCTGAGAGGTGTGTTTTGTTTTGTTTTTAAAGTTTATTTATTTGAGAGAGCGAGAGAGCACCAGCAGGGGAGGGGCAGAGAGAGAGGGAGATAGAGGATTCCAAGCTGGTTCCATGTTGTCAGCACGGAGCCTGACACAGGGCTCGAACCCATTAACTGTGAGATCATGACCTGAGCCGAAATCAAGAGTCGGACACTTAACTGACTGAGCCACCCAAGGCACCCCTTGTTTGTTTTGTTTTTAGTTCCTGGTGTTCAAGGAAATCTCTGTCAAAACTCCGTGGAGCATGAGCTAAAGGAACAGAGGCATCAGCGACTTCATGTGAGTTTATGTTCATTTGCTACAGCAGTGGTAGGAAGCTAACGCAGCGCTCACTGAACGTTAGCTCTGGCCATGGGGGAGGAACTTCAGCTCCATGTTACCTGTGGTCAGTGTGTTCAGTAAATACTGATCACAATAAACATAATGGATACGAGAACTCGCCAGAAGCGGTATAGCAGGAGGTCTGTTCCTTTTCTGCTTAACTGTTGGTATCGGAAGCATCTGAAAGTACTTTGTTCAGTTTTTTTAAAAAATCTGTAATTCCGAACCAGTTACTTTATTCCGCGATGCAGGCCTGATTCCACACTTTGGCGAAAGTTAGTAATTTTTTAACAGGTAGAGGCGGCGGTGAAATGGAACACACCTCAGGTCGGAAGTCCGAAAGTTGGGCCCTGGTCTCAGCTCCACCTCTATCTGGCCGTGTGACTTAGGTCATCTTGCCTCCTCTCTTTGGGTTTTGTTTTCCCCATTCAGAAAATGAAGGAATTAGATCAATAATAACTCCCATGTGTCAAATGCCTACAATGCACAATTTATACATATGGTCTCATCTGAGCCACATAAAAACTGTGCAAGGTATCATCCCCATTTAAAATTTTTTTTTTCAACGTTTATTTATTTTTGGGACAGAGAGAGACAGAGCATGAACGGGGGAGGGGCAGAGAGAGAGGGAGACACAGAATCGGAAACAGGCTCCAGGCTCTGAGCCATCAGCCCAGAGCCTGACGCGGGGCTCGAACTCACAGACCGCGAGATCGTGACCTGGCTGAAGTCGGACGCTTAACCGACTGCGCCACCCAGGCGCCCCTCATCCCCATTTTATAGTTGAGAAAACTGAGAGGCCCAGAGAGGTTAAGTGACTTTCCCAAGGTCACAGAGTATCAGGCAGAGCTGTGATTTAAAACCAGGACTGTTTGACTCGTTTTGATAAGCCCCTCTACCTTTCCACGTTTTGGAGGTCAACACTGTCTTTACAGAACATGCTTATGAGGCACCTGCTTTTCTCCGTACATCATAGTGAGGATGATGGGTCTCTCTAGCTTCCCACTTGAGGGGCCTGGAACCTGGTCCATCTCTTGTGTTTCTGAGAACCTCTGATTCAGCCCCTCAGAGACTTCCCTCACAACCATGTATCCCTCCTCTCACCTCTAACAGACACTACGAGGTGCTGAACCAATGTCTGGCCTCTCCCTTTTACTTAGTAACAGAATCCTAATTTTGTTCGAATAAAATGTACCCACTTAAAAATACCTGCCCGCATTCCCTTGCAGGTGCACCCTTACAGGTGGTCCCCTGACCCAGCTCTGACCAATGAGATGTAAGTGGACATTTGGGTGGGGATTCTTGGGAATCTATCTTCTTCATACTAAAAGGTGGGAGAAGTCAGCAAGCCCAAGGCACAAATTGCCTTGGTTTTCATCCTCGCCTGGAACATAGGTGAGGTTTCTGGAAGTGGAGCAGCCATCTTGTGACTATGAGGGTGAGTGCCACCTGCTAAGGATAGCAGAGCCAGAAGACCGAAGAAACTTCTTTGTAATCGGTCCTCTGTACCAGCCTGGATTGCCTAGACTTCTTGTCACATGAGAAAACGAAAGCTTTATTTGGTCAGATTTCTGTTCTGTCAACTTCATACCATCCTAACTGACAGGTTCTCTGAGAAAAGTCTCTCCTCTGCCCTGTAGGCCTGACATGTGGCCTTAATAAGCACCTGTGGTGACTCAAAAATAGACCAGGGGGAAGAGAAATTGGCCATGGCTGTGATTCTGAACTTGCTGAGCCATCACCTGTTCAATCCATGCTCTGAAGAAGAGTCTGTTAATTACACTCTCCTTGGCCAGCCAGAGCACAGGAGGCTGCGTCCGTGTGTTCTCAGGGAAGCTCAAATATAGCTCAGGCTCCTTCACTGCTTTTGCTGAGTGTGCAGCTTCTGCGTGTCTGGCAGCCCCAGCGAAGAATGGAGAAGCTTTTCCCGGGAGGTTAGAGTCTGAAGAAGGTGCTAGGAAACAGGGATGCTGGCAAGGTCTGGCTCAAGGAAACAAGATCTTCCCTCCCGCCTTCTGCAAGGTGAGTATTACACCTCCTAGTTAGCAGGTGACAAAACTTGCTTGAAGTCCAAACTGAGGCTCAGAGACTGAAGTGGCCATGTGTCAGTCTGAGCATTTGGTTGTATGCAAAGAAGCGGACTCTGCATAGCTGGAGGAAAAAAAAATAGTTTGGGGGAAGAATATGGGATGGCTCTCAGAATTTCAGGCGAAGCTGAGAAACCAACTTGAACAAAGGGAACCATAGTTCCAGGTGGTCTGGATAGCAGAATTCCAGCATTGGGATGACGTAGCTTCGATCATGGGCCCACGCCACAATTAAAGAGGGCAGGATGCCTTACCTGACCATCTTTCTAGATGGTGCTGGAAAAGGTGGTTTTCCTGGGGCTCCTGCCTGGCTCATTTGGTGGAGTGTGCAGCTCTTGACCTTGAGGTCATGAGTTCCAGCCCCACATCAGGTGTAGAGATTGCTCAAATAAATAAATTTTCTAAAAATCTAGAAAAGAAAAAGAAAAGTCGTTTTCCTAAAGCTACCACAGGGTTCAAGTACCAGAATAATGCAAGAGAATGTTGGGCGGCAACACAAAACAAAAAAATGTCCATGGCAGGTAGTATAGAATTGGTCAAGGGGATGGGTTTGGGGAGCTGGCTGACTTTAGTTAAAATCTTAGCTCTGCTCTTTGGCCAAACCCATTAACCTCTTAAGCCTCAATTTCCTCCTCTGTGTGTAATGAGGATGAGTCATATTCAGATCTACTAGAACATACGATTTTGTCCCCCACCCCCTCCAAATGTTCTATCCCCAGCACCTAGCCGAGTGCATGCTTGCAGCTGATGCTAAGTACATATTTATGGAAGGAGTGAATGAACTCTACATTTGTCCCAGAATACCTCTTATGTAGGAAGCTATTCGGTTGAAAATATAATGTGATAGGTGCTTGAAGTGGAAAGTGAGCACCCCTGCTGCCTCACTGCCTCCCTCCGGGGAGGGAGGGGAAGGAGGAGAAATCTAGGCAGACGCCCCGAGGTAGATAAAAGGACATCCACTCTGCAGACTCTTCCCCCGACACTCCCCACCAGCACGCTGACCTGCTTACTCACTTCAGTCACTCTGCCCTCGTCCTCACAAGCGAGGCTCTTTCGCTGAAAACAACAATCCCACGTTGAGCGCGGGATAGATTCATTCTAGCAATCTCCAGGACTTCCTGGCATAATGTTGGCGTGTTAAACACTACTGATAGGTTTGATGGGTTAAGAAGGCTAAAGTCACCACACCCCTGCGTTTCCCAGTGAACCATGACGTAGAGTGGCAAACAGAACAAAATCACAGCCCTGGAGAATGTGTGCATTGTTAAAACAAAACACACACCCAGCAGGACATCGCTGGTGAAATGAATGCATTGCGACTTTCTCAGTCATGTTTTCATTCACTAGTCTCAACGAGATCAAATTCTGAGTAGTTTTGTTCCCTAGGGCTACTGTAGAAATACAAAGCAGAAAAGAAAGAGACCAACTTTGAAGAAGTAAGGATATTGGTATCCTTGGTCCCTCTAATAACCGGCACCTTTGCTATACTCATTGTCACCCTCAGAAGCTCCGCCATCACCATGCTCCCCAATTACCACCACCGCCACCACCATTTTCTTCCCCATAAAAATTCTCATCAGCATTGTTATCACTACCTAGTAAATGACACTGGGGCCCCACCCATATGCCCTTCACTAGGCCGGTGTACTCATCCCCCAGCTGCTGTGAGAGTTGGTTGCTCACAGCTCACGGCCACTCCCTTCTGACAATTCACCTCAGCCAGTGGAACTGCCTTGACAGGAAATCCCTGGGAATCTGTGCCCCTGAAGACCTGTGCCCCTGTGTACCCAATGACCAACTAACTGGATGTACAGTCCCCCACCGCCTTGCCTCAGGCTGGGACAACCCTCTTTGGAATTAGGCAGTGGCTAGACTGGAGCTGCACCCATATTTTTTTTGCCTACCTTTCTCCCTAGTCGTATTCTCCTTCCCTCACCCCCTCAAAGGCTTCACCCGAGAGATCCCTCAATAAGTCACTTGTACTGGCCAGCTCTAGCTCACAGGGGTCAACTGCACACTTTCTTCCCAACTCTGTGCTGAGTGACATTGCGTTGATAGCTTGGAATCAGACATGGTGGGAGTACTTACACCATGGAAGCTGGCGAAAACACTTTTGTTATTGTTCATTTTGAAGTGCTAGTTGTTAAATATTTACTGCATACCACCAGGCACAGGTCGGCCATACAATTCCAAACGTTTGTTGGAATGCCAGCCCTAAGTTGTCACTTAAGAGGCTGAGGTAGATTCCTACCCCTGGGGGGACTTATCCATAGGCTACCAGTGGTGTATGAATTATGTGTTGAGAAAAAAATGGCTTAGGTCAGCAGGTGTCTCGTGGAATTGGGTAATCAATAAGTTGTGACCAGTTGGCAAGGAGAATTGAATAATGCTAATAATCATAGCTGTCGTTTATTGAATACTAAGTTAAATTTGTGTTGTGCTAAGCACTTTGCATGAATTATTCTTGTGTAAGTCTTATAATACCCCTTGCAGGAATATCATCCCCCCATTTTATCAGATTGAACAAGCTCTAGAGGTAAAGTCCTTGCCTAAGGCCACATAGCTTATTGGTGCAAGCATTGGGATTTGACCCCCAGTCTTTCTGACTCCAGAGCCTGTATTCATAGCCACTCGTGAAACAGATCTGGGGGCCCAGATAGGCAAAAGCCACAGGCACAGTGATGATAAGAATGAGTAGAAACTAGATTAAGGTGAATGTGCTCATCAGGACACCTTGGTTTCAAGTTGAAAAAACTAAACTTGAATCAGCTTCAAGAAAAAAGCATTCTTCGCTGGGTCACATCTATCCTTAGGAGGAACAAAACTAAGGCTGGCCTTAGGGCTGACTGGAAGAAGAGTCTAGAATCCAAAACCATGCAATTCTCTCTCTCTCTCTCTCTCTCTCTCTCTCTCTTTTCCCTTTCCCCCCTCCCCCCTTTGTTTCTCTTTGCATCCTGGCTGGACACATCCTAGGGAAAGGCTTTCCCAGCTACCCTGGGCCTTTGTTACTATTCAATTGCAGAGGGTAGTTGTCCAAGGCATCCAAAGGGTGGTGGGATCCTGAACCCGGGATTCGTGCCAGGTGACTCTCTGATCAGTGAGGAGACACAGAGCTTATGACGATGAAAAGCCTTATGGAGAGTGGGTAGTCGCCACAGCTTCCCCCGTGATTAGAATTCCCATACTTGACCACGGTTCTTCCCAAGCAGCAGATAGTGTGAAGTGGAAGAGAGAGAGCGTAGGTTTGGTGTCACAGAGATCTAATTTGACACGGTGGCTTTCCCGTGCCACCCCGTACTTTGCCTGAGAGATAGCTGATGGTTAACCGGCAGTGTGGCTTCGGGCAAGTCCCTTCACTTCTCTGAATCTGAATTTGCCCGCGTGGGATGTGGAGATGATCATCACGCTTAGTTGGCAGCATTGTGAATGTTACACGAGTGAGGTGTAAGCAGAGACGGTGCTTGGTTAGTGTTCGTTCCCACATCCACTCGCTTTCCCAACAGAACCAATCCTCCTTTGTTAGGTCGTTTCTGACTAGGCTGGTGGGGTGGCCTCTACTCTTACCCAGGGATACAGGGGAAAGGGAAATGTATTCTATGAAAACTATCCGGGCAAGGCCCTCATTCTTTGCTCTGCCAGCAGTTACATAAATCCCAAAGTCATCTCTATCTTTCCCCGCCGCCCTGGCTAGCCTCCAGACCAATTAAACATTGATGGTGTAGCTATACTTATCCCCATCTCCCTCTCCCAATCAAGGCTTGGACATCAATTCTCTCTTTCAAATAAAAAATTTAACCCTCACATTTTTGGATTCTTCGGTTTATGAAGCAGTTCCAGATTCGCTGACTTCACATACTTATTATAGGAGTTAAAGCAATATGGAAAAGTACAAAGAAGGAAGTGAGAAAGTCAAGTGATCAAGGTCAACAGCACGAAGGGTAAGTCATGTTGATATTATGTGCCCCTGCTATGATGTGATAGGAAGAGCACATCACTCCCCCCAAACTTATAATCTCAGTCTAATCATGAGGAAGTGGGAGACTAGCGAAAATGGAAGATATTCTACAAAATGAAGTGACCACTACTCTTTGAAAATGTCAAGACTATGAAAGACAAGGAAAGAGTGAGAACCTGTCATAGGCCAGAGGAGACGTGACATCTGAATGCAAGATGGTATCCTGGTTTGGAAACTGGGACAGAAAAAAGGACATCAGTGGAAAAATTGGACAACCCGAATGAAGTCTGTAGTGTAGTTAATCATATTATGCATATTACCCAGTTAATTTCATTTTGATAAATGTACCGTGCTTATGTAAGGATGTTAACATTAGAGCCAGTTAGGTGAAGAATAAGTGAGATGGTACTTTTTGCTCTATCTTTGCAACTCTTCTGTAAATCTACAATTATTTCAAATTTAAAAGTCGAAAAACAAAACTAAAAACACCTGAGATTTGCATAATTCAAATGAGATGAATGTCATGCCCAACATCTTTCAATGCATGTACACAGATAATCAGAAATAGTTTTATCAAAATTGTTTCATATTATAAAACTCTTCTTTAATTTTGAGAGATCTTTCATATATTGACTGGGATTTAATAGAATTTTTGTAGATGAAAGAATATCTGAACTTTAGATAGCTCTTTCTCCACCAAAAACAATATTAGCTCATCAAAGATCCCTCCGGAAAACATCAAGAGGTTGCAGCCATCATCATTTTTAACTAAATATTTCAATTTCAGATAGCAACTACCTGCAGTGAAACATTGGCAGTTTTTAAAAAGTTTTTAATGTTTGTTTATTTTTGAGAGAAAGAGGGAGACAGAGTGCGCGTGGGGGAGGGGCAAAGAGAGAGGGAGACACAGAATCCGAAGCAGGCTCCAGGCTCTGAGCTGTCAGCAAAGAGCCCAATGCGGGGCTTGGACTCACAAATCAAGAGATCATGACCTGAGCCGAAGCTGGACGCCCAACCAACTGAGCCACCCAGGCGCCCCAAAACATTGGCACTGTTATGCTTTTCCCCATCCCTTCTCCCCAAACTTCCCATTTTGCATTAGTTGTTGTGTTTACATTGTTGAGTGAAACAGTTAGAGGTTGCTTTTAGTCATGAGTTACAGAAAACAGTAGCTTAAATAAACAAGTAGTGAAGAGTTAGACAGTCACTGCCTCAGGTTCAGGGCCTCAAGAATGTCAGGATGGGGTCTCTGCAAGTCTCTTGGGGTTTTCCCCATAATTACAAAACAGCTGCTGCAGCTCCAGCCACCATGTCTCTATTTCACTAGAAGAAGGAGAAAATGACTCTATCAAGAAAGCTTTCCACAAATTCTTAGTCTATATCTCATTGGCCGTAACTGTGTTATATGCCACCTCTGGCAGTAACAGAGGCTAGGAAATGTGGGATTTTTTTTTTTTTACTAGGTACATGTGATGGACCCAATCTAAACTGGTATTTCTTAGTAAGGAAGGAAGAGCTGCTAATTCTCACAGTTATTTTTTTCTTATTCTATATTTAGGCATATTTAATACTTAAAGGTAATCTTATATACCAAAGCTTCTTTGTACCTAAATTCTTTATTTTGATCCACTTCTTGGTTGGCAGGGTTTCATGGTCAGGGATGAGCTGAGGCTCAGGAAGCAGCCACGAAAACCTGCCTTGCACCCCCTCTCATTTCTCCACTGTGCTGGAATCGGACTCTAAATGGAAGGAGCGAGTCAAGAGGGCCCCAACCTGGCTCCCTCATCCAGGCAGAAGCTGTCCCTTTAAAAGAGAGAGGAGGCAGAGTTGGCTTACTGCTGCCAGGAGAGGCTGACTGACAGCCAGTGTGCTCCCGGGAGGCCTGATGTCATCGCCAGTGAGCAGCAAGGCATCTGACTGGCAGCAGAATGAGGAGTCCAGGAGCCTTGGCTGTGACTGCGGGTGGGGGGGGCGGGGGTTCTGCACAGCACCCACCGAGCAGGCATTTAAAGTTGCAGGAATTGGGTCCATCCCAGGCTCTTCAGGGCCCCTCTCTCAGCCTTCCCTATCAAGCAGGGCTTCTCTCCTCCATTCTCTCCATCCTTGGAACGGGGGCATCCTGCCTGCAAGACCAGACTCCCGTTCCAGCACTGGAACCACCCCCCGAGTGCCAGGTCCGGACCATACCTGGCTCTCAAGTGCATGCTCTCCTTCCCTCCTCCCCTCTGATGATGAACTTGACACTATTTTTTTTCTAATTATAAAGGTAATACAGGCATTGTAAAAAAAAAAAAAAAAAAAAGGAAGGAAGGAAAGAAAGTACCAGTTGACTCTTGTACGTTGCTGATGCCCACGCAGTTGAAAATCACATATAACTTTTGACTCCCCCAAAACTTAACTGCTAATAGCCTACTGTTGACTGGAAGCCTTATTGATAACATAAATGGTTAATTAACAGTTATTTTGCATGTCGTCTGTATTATATACTGGATTCTGACAATAAAGTGAGCTGGAGAAAAAGTGTTATTAAGAAAATCATAAAAAAAGAGGAAATGTACAGTATGAGACTGTCTATATGGGGAAAAATCTGCATCTAAGTGCACCCGTGCAGTTCACGGTCAACTGTACAGAACACTGTAAAGAATAAAGTGAAAATTATGCTTAGCCACAATCACTGCTAACATTCTTCTGTTCTTTTTCTTTAGGGCTTTTTCTATACATTTATGTATTTTTTTTTTTTTAGAGAAACCTAACTTATGTAAAGCACTTATATTAACGTTTTAATCATACAGCTGGATTAATATTTAGGTATGCATCCACCAGCGTCAGCCAACCCAGATCAAGATCTAGCACATTTCCTGTACCCTAGCAGGCTTCCCAATTGACAACCCCTTCCCTTGATCTTGATCACCGCTCTGGTCTTTCCTACTTTTGAACTTCATAAAAATGGTATAGATGCATTTTTAAAATTAAAACGGGACATAGCTGTTTTACTTTTTTTTTTTTCAGTGAGTATATCATGAATATTTCCCTGTCATAATTTTTTCCAGATTTCTTTTTAATGACTGTATTTTGTCATACTATTCTACAGGATGTATTTAATTATCCTTCACTTCTTACACAATTAAGTTTATTTCTGAATTTTTGCTATTTCAAACGGTACTATGTAGAACATCACTTTCATACTTTTCCGGAACACCAGTTTTTATGCCCTTCTACTTTTCACTATAGGATAGTGAGCTGGTTCAGAGCATGGGTTTTGGAGTGAGAGAGATGGGGGGTTTCAGCCCCCACCTGTCACTCGATAGGCTTGAATTTGTGCAACTTTCGACAAATTTTGTTGAGCCTCAGTTTCCCCACCTGAAAATGGACGTGGCAATCCCCATCTCACCGTATGTGGCTGCGAGGCCTGATTGAGGTTTAAGTGTAAAGAGCTTAGCATATTGCCTGGCACAGACTGAACACCCAGTAAATGTTAAGCGGCTATTATTCATCTTTGTGTTCACTTCTAATTATTTCCTTAGGAAAGTTTCCTAGAAGTAGAATTGCTGATCCAAGAGTGCTTGTCTTTGGGGTTTTTAATGCAGCCTTGCCAAATTGCCCTCCAGATAAGCTGTGCCAACACACAGAACTACCAGCTGGGCGTGAGATTGCCCCTCCACCACCCTCTCTCTCAGTAATGAGTATCGCCATAAAAAAGAGAGTGAGAAAGAAGGAAAGAACAAAGAGAAGGAAAAAGAAAAAAGAAACCTTGCCAATCAGATAAGGGGGGAAAATCTCTTATTGTTTTGCTTCTAGTGAGATTGATCATTTCCTTTCCTTGTATTGGCCACCTGTTTTTCTTCATTTGGAGATTTGCCTGGTCAGGTCTTTTGCTGGTTTTTTCCTGTTGGGACATGTGCTGGTGTTTCAATAATGGGACTATTATCTGGTTTAAGAAGTCCTGTTCCATCCGGCCTGGGCTACAGTTCCTGTAATAGGGCTTTGGCCTTGGTCCCCATTCCCACGTTCCTACCTTGGCGGTCTACCTGATTTCCTGGTTCCTGGAGGCTTGGGCTTCTCTAGGGCCTTGCCAGGACCTCTTGCTCTCTCACCATCCCATACCTTGCCAGCCTGAGATGCGTGGTGCCCAGAACAGCTAATGATCCAGTGTCTCTTTTTCCCTTTAAATGCATGTTTGCTCAACATTTGTTTAGAAGAGAGGCTGGGTGATGCACAGAAAAAGAGCTGGGAAGGAAGGATCCTTGTGGCAACAAGTAATTCAGCTGTAGCCTTGAACTTGTATAACCAGCTCAATGAGACTAGCACCCTGCAGTTAAGAAGACTCATCTCCCTTAGAAGGCAGTTTAACAGGCAAAACACCCAAGCAGTTTAGGTAACTCCTTCAAACAGGGGTGGTGGTACCCTTGAAAGGAACCCAGGTCAGTATTATTCTCTCCATCTCATTTCATGTAAAGTTGTTTTAGAGCCCCAGATATACACAGCACCTTCAATAGATTGGAACCCTTGGCAACTACCCATCTGATTATTGCTTTCCTGGTTCTGCCTGGTCCTTATAGGGGCCTGGGTTTCTGAGATCTTCGGGGTCATTTCTTGCCAAAGAGGGTGATCCAGGAGACAGGGTCATGAAGAGAAGAGTATAAAAAACCGGGCTGGGGGTGCCTGGGTGGCTCAGTCGGTTGAGAGTCTGATTCTTGATTTCGGCTCAGGTCATGATTTCACAGTCGTGGGTTCGAGCCCTGTGTTGGGCTCTGCACTAGCGTGGAGCCTGCATAAGATTCTCTCTCTCCCTCTCCCTCTGCCCTTTTACATGCGCAAACTCTCTCTCTCCCTCAAAAACAAACAAACAAACAAACAAACCCCAAACCCTGGCTGTCCTGAAAGAAGATACCATTCCCACATATTAAATTGGAGAATATTTTAAAAAGAAAGAAAGAAAATGAATTATCTAGACATTAACTTAGCTAAGCATGTCAGAGAAAGCTCACTAAAGGAGGCGTTTATTTCTTGGATAAATGGAGATATGGTTGTGAAAGGTAAGTCACAACATTGTAATGGTGTCAGTTTATATAATTCTAGTCGATATTTGGGGGAGAGGAATTGGATAAACCAATTCTAAAATTTGCATGGAAGATAAGCTTTCCATGAATAGCTAAAGTAAGTAGTCTCAAAAATAAAAGCAAAGGTGGGCATCTCACCCTACCAGATATTAAGACATATTATAAAGTCTAATGTTTCCAAGTGTGCTATTAATTCAAGCACTGTAGACCAATGGAACAGAAGAGAAGAATTCAGAAAGGACAGATTATTCTAACAGTGTTGGAGAAAGTGAGTCTGCTGTATGGAAAAAATAAAATAACATCCTATCTCATATCATGTAAAGACAAACTTCAGATGGTTTAAGAAGCTATAAAAAATCGAAAGGCAAATCTTTATGATGTTGAGTTAGGGAAGCATTTCTTAAATAAGATACAAAACGTCCAAACCATAAAGGAAAGAACTGATGGATTTCTGCTCAATAAATGACATCGCAGACAAAGTTAATGAATGATTAATAGACCAAGAAAAGGTATTTGCAGCATATTTACAACAACAGACGGTTAAAAATTAAAATCTAAATTATATAAGAAACTTAGTAGTAAATCAGCAAGAAAAAAAATCTGGCAACCCAATAGAAAAATAGGCAAACTCACTTTCTGAGGAACTCAGGGAGTGAATAAACATATGAGGAGAAACAACTTCTTAGAAATCAGAGAAAGAAAAATCAAAACAACAGCATTCTGCTTTAGATTCATCAGACTGGCCAAAAAAAAAAAAAAAAAAAAAAATCAAGTGCTGGCTAGGACATAGGGAAATGAGAACCTAATTCCTCGTACGTTAGCGTAGCCACTCTGAAGAGTAATTTCAAACTAATATTCGTGAAACTGAATTTATTTTATCTTATTTTATTAAGATTAAAACATTTTAATTTATTTTAATTTTTAATTTTTTAATGTTTGTTTATTTTTGAGAGAGAGAGAGTGCATGCAAGTTGGGGAGGGGCAGAGAAAAGGGAGGCAGAGGATCCAAAGTGGGCTCTGTGCCCACCGCAGAGAGCCCGATGCGGGGCTCGAACTCACAAACTGTGAGATCATGACCTAAACCGAAATCAGACACTTAACCAACTGAGCCACCCAGACACCCCAAAATTCAAAATACCTTAACCCATTACTTTTCAAATTGTGGGTCATGGGCCATTAACAAGTTATAAAATTAGTTCAATAGGTTGTGATCAATATTCTAAAAAGGAAGTTGAGTTAAGTAGAATAAACATCAGAATGTTTTTCTTATGATAAGGATAAGCACTATTTCACAAAACTTTGTTTTATCTGTGTATGTGGAGGGAGCCTTACCAGACTATGATGGAAAAAACGTCTTTCTTATGATGGGTCACGGTCAAAAGGGTTTGAAAGACAATGCTATCCCTGCTACCCAGCAATCCCACGTCTGCTTGGAAACTCTAGCTGAGATAAAGAGAGGGGGGAACGAAGATATTCATCACAGGGTTGTTTATAACAGCAACATGATGGCAACCAGTTACATCAGCCTGAAAATGAATCTAAACAATGCAGACAAAAATTGAATGGTCGTTAAAACAAATGAATTTGAGGGGCACCTGCATGGCTCAGTCGGTTCAGTGTCTGACTCTTGATTTCAGCACAGGTCATGATCTCATGGTTCTTGGGATTTAGCCTTGTGTTGGGCTCTGTGCTGACGGTGAGGAGCTGGCTTGGGATTCTCTCTCTCTCTCTCTCTCTCTCTCTCTGCCCCTCTCCCACTTGCACACGCACATGTGCACTCTCTCTCACTCCCTCAAAATAAATAAACATTTGAAAAAAAAAAAAACCCAATGGGGCACCTGGGTGTCTCAGTGGGTTAAGCGTCTGACTTTGGCTCGGGTCATGATCTTGCAGTTCATGAGCTCGAGCCCTGCATCGGGCTCTCTGCTGTCAGCACAGAGCCTGCTTTGAAATCTTTTTTAAAATATTTATTTATTTTTGAGAGAGAGAGAGTGAGTGGGGGAGGCAGAGAGAGATGGAGACACAGAATCTGAAGCACGCTCCAGGGTCTGAACTGCTAACACAGAGCCCGACGCGGGGCTCAAACTCATGAACTGTGAGATCATGACCTGAGCCTAAGTCAGTCGCTTAACCAACTGAGCCACTCAGGCATCCCTGTGCAGAGTCTGCTTTGGATCTTCTCCCTCTCTCTCTGCTCCTCCCTGCTCGCGCTGTCTCTCTCTCTCTCAAAAATAGATAAACATTAAAAAAAAAAAATGAATTTGTTACATAAATTAGGATAGATCTCAGTTTAAGAAAACCAACAGTATTGGTTGAACAAAAAGGGGTAATAGAATGTAATATATAGCACAATAGGACTTACCGTGAGGTTTTATAAATGCCCTCCCAAAGCAGTATTATATATTGTTTGAGGATCCACATACACAGAGGTTTTGAGGGTGGACTGCCGATGCTTGTACATCTGACACGTCAGAGTGGATGTCTGGAGGTGAGGGGGAGTAGGAGCGACGTAGTAATAGGACTGTGATGGCAAACAAAAGGAATCACAAAGAGAATAGCTAATTTGAGAGAATGGGGAATGATGTCATATGCTTCCGGAGAGTGAAGAGTG